TTTTTTGTAAGATATTTTTAAAGGTATCCAGATCGCTACACTTTCTATCAAGTCTCGTTCGTTGTTTAATCATTTTTTCTCGCAGCACTTATTTCCGCTTACTGCAGTTTCTACAATTTTTCTCTTTCTGCCTTTTTCTTGTTTTCTTTCTTTTTGTTTAAACTGTATTTTCTTTCTCACTCACTCTCTTTTTCTTATTCTATCTTTCTTTATGTACCACTTTCCGTTTAGTTATCTCTTTCACTCTCTCGTTTTCACTTTATTTCTTCTATTTTCTCTCTTTCTCTTGTTCCCGCTATATTTATATGACACACACACACACACACATGTACACATTGTCTTATATTAAATATAATTCCATCTCTTTTTTGACAAACTCCCTAAATATGTTATGCGTTTTTAATATTACAGTATATTTTTAGACTTGTTCTATTTTATTATCACCGATTGTTGTTAATCTCCTATTGTGTTTAATAAGATCAGATTTTACAGCTGTTCATACGCCGAAAAGTATTAATGGAATATTTTGAAACCATTTGAAACCAAATGCTGTTTTCACGGATTCCTTCTGAGAACGATGAAAACGTTCTATAATGTCGTTAGCTTTAAGATGTTAAGCAATTTTGTAAATTCTGATTGTACCAAGCAGATTGGTTAGGGAAGCGAGGAGATAGGATTCAAATTGAGTTCTTCTATCTGTAGTGATCCTAGTGGGAACACTAAACCTGCTGACACGACAAGTTATAAAACTGATTTCGCACTGATATCAGTAAAGGGAATTATTTCAGACCAGTGGGTGAATTTGTCATTTCAGGTGAGGATATACATGACAAGGACGAACGGTCCAGTGATATCTTTCGTATCCTTAGTGATATCATTCGTATGTTTAGTGATTCCAGGCCGGATATAATTTTTACTAATTAACCTGCAGGTCGCTTTTATACCTGGGTGTGATATTGAGTGAAGAGTGTCAAATATGTTACTACGGAGAGTTTTTTTTTTTAAATAAAAGGCCTCAAATTACCTGTAGAAATGTCCACCAAATTGAATGTTTCATTTGTGGAATATATATTTTTTTAATTTTTAATGAAGAATTATTGTCATCTAGAAGAGATTTTAGATCATCATCTTTTGGTAAAGTTGCAATATTTTTAAAATCCATGACTGGACTCATTTTAATTGTAGAAATATTCCTGGCAAGTGTGTCTGTTAGAATGTTTGCGGGGCCTTCGATATATCGAATCTCAGTTGTAAATTGGCTGATGGAACCCGAGATGCCTAAGTTCCCGAGGACAATAGTTCTCCGATTTTGTCTTGATTGCTCTGATGAAAGGTTTATGGTCTGTAAGCACATGAAAAGATCTACTTTCCAAGAAATGTCAGAAGTGTCCGATGACAAAGCAAACCGCCATTAAATCTCGTCCGAAAATGCTGTACCGTGTAGCTGATTCTGATAATTTCTTTGAGAAGAAAGACACGGGTAACCATTCATCTGATTCACATTGTTGCAAGACTGCTCCAATAGCAAAACTCGAGGTACCTACTGCAAAGTATAAATCTACTTCATGATTGGGAAAACTAATGTTAATAACATTGAGTAACTTTTCCTTTGCCAAATTAAAGGCTGACAACTCTTCTTCAGAAAGATTTATATCACTGTTCTTTTTCATTTGACCTTGAAGAACACCTATCAATGGCGAAGCTATTTACGCCAAACTGGGTATAAATTTCCTCTACAAATTCACCATGCCAAGAAACAGGGAAATGTTTCATCAGTGTTATGACCTAAAAGGTCATCTTCAGACAATCCAAATGTACATTTAATTGAATTCACGACAACACCATATTTTCGAAATCTTTCAAAAACCACTTGTAAGGGCCGTTTATGTTCTTCCGGGGAAGAGCTGGCAATAAGCACGTCATTGATGTATAAAAAGAAAATGAATCTAGTCCTTGAAGAACTTGGTTCCTAAATCTTTGAAAGGATTCGGTTGCATTCCATAGTCTAAAAGGTAAACTTAAAAAATTGTAAAGCCCAGATGGCGTTGTAACGGCTGTCTTCTTAAACGTCAGAGTCCTCTATGAGTCTCTGATAGTTGGCTCGGATGAGGTCAAGTTTCGAAAAGATTTTAGTTCCATGTAGTTGGTTGGTAAAATCTCGAATATTAGAAATTGGGTATCTACCAGGAAGAGTAATCGCGTCTTAGGCCATGTTCTTTAAAAGATTTTGTTTTTATGATAATTTTTTGCCATAATTTCGTCAAAGAATATGTTCATGTGGTATCATCATACGAGATATGTGTGATAAGTAACGGGACTCATCCGTTCTTCTATGTGAAAGCATCGTCCACGGTGAGTTCTTGCCACACTTTGCTCAAAGCGCGAGAAGAGACGAGACTTTGCCAGGACAAATCATGAGTGCTTCACCATGACACTGCACCTGCTCACAACGCCCTGGGCATTTCCTGTCCAAGAACAACATCACCGTGTGACACCATTTAGGATTGCTAGAAGGAGAAAAGAAAAAGGAAAGAAAGAAAAAGAAAGGCGAGAGTTAAATTTTGATGATAAAAAGCCATCACAAAAAGGACACTAAGCGGTGTTATTTTTCTGACAAGGAAAAGTGGTAAATTTTTTATTTCCTATTGTCGAGAAGAAGAAAAAAAGAAGATACTGAAATTAATCTGATTTAGGTTATGGGTCGGGTGGAAGTTGGCCAAATAACCTCAGAGACAGAATTCTAAATAGATAAACTTTTAACTGTGTCACGGGAATGCCATTTGGAACTTCCACAGAATTCTAAAGCAATAAAAATTTAATAGGTTATCCGCTGACCGAGAAACAAAAATGACCACACAAGAGTTGCAAAAAAAAAAGACCAAGCCATAGGTTAAGCCTTTGTCGATGGGAAGATATCGTTTGGACAAGGCACTTGTTTTGTGTTGAAATTCGGCTATGACAGCGAAACTGTTTTATCGGATCAGTGGTTGGCGCCAGGAGAGTGAGTATGTCTGGTTGACCACCCACTTGTTAATTGGCGAAAATCTCATTGACGAATTTCAGGTAATTCGGCTAAAAGATAAAAAGTCTAGGGTGTGAGTTTCCTCGAAGAAAGAAAAGGAAAAGTAAAAAAAAGAAAAAAAAAGATAAAATTTTTTTTTTTTTGAGCAAGATTTTCTTTTAAAAACAAGGCTAGTCCGGCCACACCCACACTGCTGAGCGCCCATTGGATGAATGTTAACGAGAGGCAGGCGGAGGTGATCATGTGAGGCAGGAGGGGAGGCCTGCTGGCACCCATTGAGTGGATAGGTGTGAGATGTCACTGTGAGAGAGAGGGAAAACCGTTGACGCCCTCTGAGGGTATGGTGAGATACCAATATGAGAACAGAAGAAGGTGGGAGGACGGGAAGACTTCCAAAAATGGAAAAGAATAAAAATTTCCTGACCGAAAACAAAGAAGTGGATTGTGGGTTTGGAATTATCAAGGAACCTCAAAACCCGACAAGCCCACCCCGGTTTTGGTCGGCGTCCATATAAGCAAAGTCGCAGCGAGCGAAAATCAGTTTGAGTTCGAGTTAGAGTTCGAAGTTCGCAGTGGAAGTTGGTCCCGCCTCTCAGATAGCTGACTTGAAAGATTCACGCAATTTCGACTCATCTAACCAAGAACAATTTATTTTTGAAGAACGACTTAGACTCACACCACCAAAACAAGTTTCACGAATTTCGCCTGAAGACACACCAAGAACCAGTTTCTTAAAAGAACAAACAACTTAAGATGTTAAGACTCGCCTAACAAAAACAAAGTGTCACGAATCCATATAGCGGTTTGGGAGAAAGACGTAGTCCTATATTCAGCAACCAGATATAAAATATTGTTATCCTTTTTAACAGATTTGAACTTTTCGATTTATTATTTTATTTTCTTTTACACATACTTGTGCGATATCGCCCTTATTCGAACCCAGCTTGCAGTACGGCCCAGCGACCGATTGATCAATTCACAACGTGGGTAGGTTAGACTAGAAATCAAAGCAGTTACTTCGGTAACCAGACGTTGGAAGCGAGCTGGGAACGACGAGGCTGATACCGAATCTAACAAGAATCCCATCCGAATCACCAGAAGGTTAGAACGTCACATTTGGTGCCGTGACCAATACCAAGCCAGTTGGTCGTCACAAGACAGGATAGCACGACTGACATAGACAGGCGGAAGTCACGTTTGGAGCGGCGACACGGGGGGACGTCACAACCGTACTGGAAAAAACTCTACCTATTCACTCGATCTTGCTCCGTGTGATATTTTTAACCTGTTTAAAAGGCGTGGAAGCCATCAAGAATACTGTAACGACGGAGCTGAGACCCATACAAGGCCAATCCTTCCAGAAATGCATAGAAGCGTGACAGAGAAGGATAAAAAAATTTCAATTATACTCGAGGTAGATTACTTTGAACAGGAAAACATGTAGTTTGTTGCATGGAATTTAAATAAATTGTTTGTATTGCCCTTTACTTTTCAAAGAGACCTCGTACTTTCAAAATTTAAATTCCTTTCAAATAAAATATAATAAAAGATAGTTTTGTTATTAAATTGTTAATATAATTTCTTATCATTTTTCTTGTTCCTCAGCTCGTACGATACAATCACCCCCTCATTATTTGAGATAAGCAAACGTGCCATCTCTATTTGATTGTAAGAATAGACGGAAGAAACTATTTTCTAATATTACGTCCGAGAAAATACAGCTTTTTTATTCATTAATTCGTTTTCTAAGGTCTATCTAAAGGCAAAAATATTTTTAGATTGTAATATTTATTTTTTAAGATAATTGTGATTTAGTGATACAATTTTACTAGTTTACCCACAGCTGGGGAAGAAAAGATGGATAAATACCTCTCCCAAGGTAATTTGAGCGTATGTGAATATAACCAACTCAAATGGAATTCGGCACTCCGATTAACAATCCTGAGTCTTTATCCATTACACCACCCGCACATCCAAGCTTACAGTAACTGGTATCCCCAAGCAGTCACCCATAAAAGCACTAACTAGGTTCGACGTTGCTTAACGCCGGTGATCGTACGGGAACCGGTGTTTCAACGTGATGTGGCCGTATGCACATATTATAGTTTTGGAAGAGGATGGTTTACTTAAAAAAATAATTAAAAAAAATGGATAATTTTTATCCCGGGAAACAACAGATCGTCTTGCTAGTTAATGATAAATTTAAGATGAAAGTATTTCTGGGAAAAACGAAGAAAAAACAACTTTCTTCCAAATGAAAAAGAAAGAGAGAAAAGAAGGCGAAAATATGTTACAAATATTGACAGACAGACATGCGATATTAGATAGATTTAATTGTGCTTTTATAAATCTGTTTCGGTAGGCTTAAAATCTTTTCTTTTTAAATAAATCTATAAAAATATATTTTTTACAACACTATCGAATGGGGCAATTAAAATTTTATTTGATATTGTTTCATATCTTTGTTTTAAACCCAAAATTTCGTTTTATTTTTCTTTCGTTTTTGTCTTTTCGAATAACAGTTTAGGCTTTTCTTGCTTTGCCTTCACTCCCCAACCTCAACCCGGGACGTGTATGCGTCCATGCGCTTGTAATAAAAGATCATCTTAGGTAATCTGAATGTTATCGATCCATTTAATCAATAAAAATTATTTTTTTCTCATTTTCTTTTTGCTTTTTGCTTTCAAATCAATATTTATATTTGCGTAGACGAGTAATTTATGCCGTGTTTTTAACATCAATAAATTAAAAAAATAATAATTTCGAGACGAAACCAGCGCCACTATTAGTGAAATATTAGATTTGCAAAGACTATTATCTGAACTTAGAATAATATTTTGAAACTTAAATATACACAGTTTGCTTAACGCAAACTGATCGCCTCAAACATTTCTGCACAAGAAAAATATTTTGCGTCTGTTACAGGGTGAATAATTTACAAGGGTAAAAAAAATATTCTGTCAACGAAAATGCAATTATTACTTGAATATTGATATGAAATTTCCACTGTATAATGTTCGATGTCTAAGATTAATATTTGCCATCGAATTAAGTGTATTGACAAGGTAAGAAATTATGCTGAAAAATAAATATGTTGTTTAAATAAATCATTATGCTATATTTTTTTAGATAGATACATATTGACAGACCTTGAATACACTCTTTATTTTCCACTAAAGTTCACCCTGTACAAGGTCCGCGGACCCCTCGAGGTAGAAGATTATGTTAAGCGGTAGTTTATATGAATAGGAGGGGAAGATAAGCAGTTAACTCTAAACTTGAACAGGTGATCGGGGAAACAGCCTCTTGAGACTTTGTTCCACAGAGCCGTGGTTCGCGAGGAGGATCTGTTCATACTTATTCCGACAATTACAAATGTTACTTCTTAAAAACAATTACTCATATTACTAACGCAATTACGAAAAATTTTTATAGTGATTTAATGACTAAACAGCCTGTAAAGAAAAAAGTAATAAAATATACTATTTTTTTTTAATTCTGTAGACTAATAAAACAAATACTTTTAGCTTCAATTTTTCTTGTTTTACTCCATGAGTTTTCACACAATTTTTCACAACGATAGTTCTCGCAAGAGATCAAGTGACAACATTTTTTCTTTCTAGACAGCTTCACCCTATCAGCCGGTTTGCACTCGCCACCGTTTTTATTTTTTTATTTTTTTTTTTTGTTTTGTTTTTTTAACAAGAGTAGAGGTTTTATATCCTGTTTAGGATTTGGTTTCTGGTTTCTTTTAATTTCTACTACAACTTTATCTTCCTAACGTCTCCGACTAAACTCTGAATTTTTACTATTGATTTATTAATTTTTTCCATGATAGAAGTAGAGATGTTCCCCTACCGTCCGGCTCACTCTCCTCCCTGATTTTTTATAGAGGTTTATCTCTTGTTTCCTGTTTAGTCTTTTATTTCCGGTTCCTTCTAAATTCCACTTCAACTCTATATTTCTAACATCTCCGCCTAAATCTCTAAAATGGATATTATTATTGAATTTCCGGTTGCTTTTAAATTTTTTCTTTCTATTTCACTTCCAGTAACCTCTTGTGTCTTAATGGCGTATCCCTTTGCTTGTGGTCAATTGATTAAAAAGAAAACTTCAACAGTTTTTTCAGTATTCGAGTTTATTAATGGTGTTAAAGATTGCGCAATATCTCACAGAGTAGCGACAAAAGTTCCTATTACATTCCCACGCGCTTGTCAAAAATAATGATATTGACTTGCTCCGAATTATAATGTTATAAATTACAGGCTCTCGAGAAAGCAGTTGAGCAACATGATAACTCGATAAGTTTTCTATGGGGTTGAGGTCATGAGATTGGGACGGCCATGTCATAACACTCACCTGCTTCTCATAAGTATTCCTTCATCAATTTTGATTTGTGACAGGGAGCATTATCCTGCATAAAAATGAGCTTGGTGGAGTCGATTTGCAAACTTTCAGCAGAAGGGAGCAGACAAGACCCTAACATTCTCTTGTACTGCTCGCTCCTGGGGGTCTTTTCAATAGGTTTTAAGAAACCAGTTCCATGAAAAGAAAAGCATCCCCAGAACATTATACTGAACGGATGCTTGACAGTACTTACTGCAAAGTTCAAAGAGCTTTCAAAGCTTCTTCTTCGGATTTTAGATCGCTTATCCTTTGAATTTAGCTCAACATTCGTTTCATCAGAGAAGAGAACATTTAGTAAAAAAATCAGGTGAGTCACTTTTATCGAACAGCACTGTATATACATATATATATATATTACATTCACACATTTAAGACCACATTCACACACTTTAAAATAAAAAAGGAAAAGAAAGGGAAAAGAAAAAAATATATATACCTGTATTGTCAAATGACCGGATATATTGTAGCGTCTTGTCGAACGTAATTTCAATGAAGAAATGAATTGAATAAACATATATATTTCTTTTCTCAATAATTTTGTAGTTTTTAAACTTAATAGTGATTAAATTTGGATTTTAAAATTGCCAGTTTTTAATTTTAATATTAAATTTTATCATATAATTTTATAATTATTGGTTAGTATAAATTATTTTTAATATTACACGTATTTTAAAGATCTGAATAGCTATTATAACATGATTTCGTTGTCAAGCTTTTTGAATCTTTATATACTTGGTTTTTTGATTGGTTATTCTAGCTTTTGTAACAATGTTTCCCCCTAGTGTAGGATCGTTAATTAATCTGAAACTTTTAAAACCATTTATTTTATTTTCAACATCATCCTTGATAAGACACAGAGTGTGTTGAAACAAAATGGCTATTTTGTAGTGATTTTATAACATACTTATGTTATAATTTTTTTATAAAAAATAATTATATATATATATATATATATATATATATATATATATATATATATATATAATGGTCAGTTTTACATCGGCATCTGAAGATTTCGTTGTACCATGGAACTCTTATGTTATTGGCAAGGAAAAATATATATTTATTAATAATATATAAATATAAAATTTAAATGTCCCTCCAGAGACTGTAAAGCAGAAAAAATAATATATATGTCCAACAGAAAAAAATAATATATATTTCCAACAGACAAAATAATATATATTTTGTCGCACCACAACTACGTTGTCTACAAGGTTAAGTTTTCGTATGAATGATGCATCTAACATCTCTCAATATTTACAACCCCATGTCTGTCTACATTCGAAATTTAGAAAAATATTCTTGTCGAAAATACATATATACTTTTTCATGAAAATAATAAATATAAATTAAAAATTCTTGAAGCTACGTATATTAAAAGATTGAAACCAACCCTTTATAAAATTATTTATGAATACTGTACAAAATGTTTTAAAATATTTACAGTAGAAAATTAAATATATTTAGGTTATAACTGATAACGCTAAATAGTTTTTTAAATAGTTACACATCTCAATAACTTAGTTATGTCCCTTGTAGTCAATGCACATGTATGTTTACATCAGAAATTTTTTTTTAATCTGTACAGTACATAAGTTTAGCCTTTTTCATATCACAAGTAAAATATTTCATTTTCAAATGAACACAGCAAAAATGTCTTACCAAAAACAAGACGTTTGAGATGACATTGTGCCAATGTCAAAAGTACTCGGAAATAAAATGAATATACATCAACATGATAATTTTCTTTATACCTTTAATAAAGATACTAAGACTCTCGTCCGTAAGTATGAGAGGATCCTATTAAGAATAAGTAGACAAAACTTGTCTAAATTGTTTAATGAGGCATGTTATATATATATATATGATTAAATAAATTACAGACATTATGTCTGCTTATTTTTAATAAAATCCGTTCATACTACGGATAACTTTTCCGTGTATTGCAATTAAATGATGTGAGAAATGTTCTATAACTATGAAAAACGTTTTTATTTTCCATTTCCAAACTACACTATTTACATTATTCGGACTATTGCCCTCATCTTTGTTGCCATATTTATCACAACGTTTCGGCAGTTATACGTTCCGACCTTCTTCAGATGGTTGGAACGTCGAACTGAACCCTTTATTCCAATATGATTAATTTTATTTTTTATTCGGATTCATGGAATATATACTACTACGAATGAATTTTTTTTTTTGATTTTTTTTCATCCTGTTTGTAGTTAGCATGCATCTAGTTGCAATATTTAGTTTGATATATTTAGGGTCCTTTGAGGAAGTGCCATATTCTATTTGACGTGTGTTGAGATTTTACATATATCGTCTTATTTGTTCATCTACAATGTGGTTTGGGAAGTCATTATTAATGAGATTCTGCTTAATATTTTTTAGTTCAGTGTAGAAAATCTTTTTTGTGGAGAAGTTAATTTGTACGCGGTTAATTAAATTCTGTATAATTACTATTTTGTAGTAATTAGGGCATTCACTCTTATAGTTGAGAATGCAAGAGTTTTTGCTGGTTGTTTTTTTATATGTGGAAGTAGTAAATGTGTTATTATTTGTGTCTATTAAAATATCAAAGAAAGGGGTTTTGTTATCTTTTTTTTTAACAAAAATAAGGATATTATCTACATATCTGAAGATGATCTCGGAAGAAGATCGAAAGTTCTTGGGAAA